CTGGGTTGCGAAGCTGCCCTCTGCCTCTGCAGCCAGTCTGATCCCCGGCTGCTCCCCGGCCACTGGAGGAGGGTCCCACATGGCGCGCAGACCTCTCCTGCCGCCCGCTGCTCCCCTCAGCAGTGTACTTCGGTCCTTCTGCCTGTTCTGCTCTCCACTCTGGCTCTGGTGAATTCTCTCACCCTCCCGCACTTCCGACAGTACCCAGTGCTTATATACATACATACATACACACATACATACATAAATAAATAAATAAATCTTAAAAAAAAAAAAAGAAGAGTCAGGCTGGGGAATGAATGGGAAATGAAGGCCTCTAAAGAGGATATTCATGAGTTCTAAGGACAAAAGAGAAGAGAAAGGTTACTAGCAAGAAGAATTTAAAAAAAGTAAAGGGAAAGTTGCTGCTGCTGTTTTTATTTATATGGGGAAAAAATTGAGCATATGTTAAATCTGATTAAAGTGAAGAAGTGATGACAAGTGATAAAATCCAGAGTGCAAAATATCCAGAGTACAAGTTAAGGAACCTGTCTTTTTTTTTTTTTTTTTTAAATAGAGGCATATTTTTTATTTATTTATTTTATTTGTTTGTTTGTTTTGTTTATACATGCACTGGGTACAGTCAGAAGCGCGGGAGGGTGAGAGAATTCACCAGAGCCAGAGTGGGGAGCAGAGCAGGCAGAAGGACTGAAGTACACTGCTGAGGGGAGCAGCGGGCGGCAGGAGAGGTCTGCGCGCCATGTGGGATCCTCCTCCGGTGGCTGGGGAGCAGCCGGGGATCGAACCGGCGCCACAGAGGCCGCGGGCAGCTTCGCAACCCAGCGCTCAACCGCTGCGCCACCGGGGAGGCCCTAAGGAACCTGTCTTAAACAGATTTTTCTATCTATTCTTCTCAAACTAAAAAAAAAAAAAAAAGACGGTGGAAGGAAAGTATGGGTAGACTCAGAAAGGGAGGCAGAAAGCGGGTAAGATCCAGCTAATGACAGAAATGTGAAGAGCTTCTGTCTCCACTAAGGTGTATTTTGACCATTCTCAGTTCACAGCAAATTCATCTGGAAAACAATCAAGAAAAATTTGAAAACCAAACAATTAGCTGAAATTAGATTGTCAACTGTGCCATCCAAATCTGAGTAATTAATGATATGTGGCAAAACCAGTACTTAAAATTTGGGATAACATCATTGCATTCTCTGCATTGTGAATCAAGACCACTATATCCAACATCATGATTCTAGAATTACTTATTTATACCTCTGTCCTGTCTTTCAGAGCAATGTAATTAACATGGTGGGTTGTTTGGCTACTAAATATTACAAATAAAAATCTACATTCATGAAAAATTTTAGAAATGTACTTTGAGTATCTAGTTCTTTTCAAAGAAATATGCAAATTAGCAGATAAACTGGTTGGCTTTATTTTAAACTGTGGATACCTTAGCAAAATTTATGTAGGATTTTTTGCTTTTCTTATTTCTGTAAATAACCTTCCATCCTAAAGTGGTATTCCTCTGGGTATTTCTGCTGCTGAAACAGTGTTATATTACTCCATTCCACACTTGCCCGAAGTAACCCACAGCCAACAGATCTATTTTAATAAGATGAAGACATTTTATTTCTCCAAAGGTTTTACTTTAAATTAAGGTATATCTAAAGCCATGATTTTGAGACTGCAAAAACTAGTAACCTCATTAAAAATAAAACAACAATTAAGGGTATTTTGAATCAGGCAAACCAGTTTAAAAAGTCCTGGGAATAAAACTAAATCTGTGGTGACCACTGATACACATAGGTCACTGCTAAGACAACCCCAGCCTGAGAACAGAAAGGTGGGAATGAGGCAAAAGGGAAGTATTTATTGAGCAGTTTCCATTGTGTGTTCTGGATTACTGGAACATGATACAGTTAGACTCTAGTGTAACACTGCTCAAACCAGACCAAGGGTTGTTTACAATACCTGAGCAATTTGAAACTTTGAGATCTCAACAATGGCATCAACTGACTAAAACATTTTGAGTATTATAATCATAGTGATTTATGACTTCACAGGAATGTTTCTAGCTTATTAACAGGCTACCACTGACCCTTTTTATCTCACACATAAGTGAAATAATGAAGTTGAGGTCTTAGATCACAGTTGTACTAAACATTACAAAATAGGTTTTTCAGGGGACATAAAACATTACTTCGCCATCTCATCGACCATTTTACTCTATCAGTCCACAATCATTGCATTCTGCATATTCCTGCTGAATATGCAGAATGCAATAAGCCCTACTCGCTGGCCTTACCCTTGTCTTTAATAGCCTTTTTATATCACTGTCTAAGTATCCTTTATGTAGCTTTTGATTCCTTTTTCAGTTTTCAGGCTAGCATTTCTGTGTTGATGCATCCACCCTTCAGTTTGTTTGCCTTTTTTTTTTTCATGCTCTGATTACTTATTATTCTGATGTAGACTTTGACCCACATTTTCTCATATTGACCATTTCTATGTTGTTGAAATCCAGATTTCACTTCTAAGATTAGCTTTCTTCTATAAACTCTAATCAAACTGCTCTGTACTTTATACATTAACTATTTTACCTTACTTCTCTGTAAAAAAAAAAAAACCTCCCTTTAAGAATTACCAACATTATTGGCTTCATTAAAATCTTTGTTTCTAAGCTTTCAGAAATATACTTTTATTACACCCAAACTTTTCATTATCCATGAGGTTCTACTTTCACAATATTTACTTGTTTCTTCTTTACCCTATCTTTATCCTAGCTCTTGCCTGGAATTGTTTCATATGACAGGTTGTTAGTCTCCAACTTTTCTACTTAAAATTCCAATTATTAATTCCAATAAATTCCAATAAATTGGAATATTACTAACTCCGATAAATTCCAATTATTGGACTTCTACGTAAATTTTACTTCCCTTTTCTTATATTTTCAAATTTATGCAATCACTATAACATTGAACAAAATGAAATTAAGTGTAATTACTAATCTTGTCAACTAAAAAAGGTCAGAGCACACACAGAGGAAAATGCAGAATAAAAGAAAACCCTAAATGAATTCTGACTGTTTCTTATCTAGCTTAAGCCTTATAATCCAGTGACCTTGCTCAAATTGAATTCTCTCTATGCATAGCCAGAAGCATCCATCACTGTCTATAGAGTCACAAAGTGATTTTTAAGAGGAGAAAAAAGGCAGAAGGTGTATGTATACATGGACATTAAACTATATATTACCCAGAAGTTTTCCCTCATAAACTAAACAACTCTTTTTTGAAAGGGTAATTGTATTACAGTATAAATCACAACAAAGCAAAAACAGACAACTGTAAACCAGAGGCATTTAGGGGAGGAGGAAGGAGAGGAGGAGGGAGGAGGAGGGAGAGGGGTGAGAGGGAGGAGAGAGGAGCACATGGGACTGTGGTGATGGTGCACGGGTACCTTGGGGAAGGAAATTCTATGGGGACTACACCTGAGGGGGTGGGGGAAGCAAATATTATCTAAAAAATGTAAAAGAAATTGATAAATATTAAAATTAAAAAATTTTAAAAAAGAATTAACAATAAAGCTTAGAGAACTATAAAAAAAAGAAAGGGTAATTGTATATATGTATGGCAAGGAAGTGGGTCTGTCCTCAAGTTAATGATTTATTAGGGGTTATACACAGCTAAAAAGCAAAACTTTTAGAACTTAGGTTTTCAAAGTGAGTTTCAGGCTATAAAACCAAACATTCCACAGGAATGAATGAAGAAGAAAGCTAGCCTGAGTCTTGGGTTTGAGACGGACAATCCTGACAGACTCCAGTTAATGGTAAAACAGGCAAAGTATTGTGGTGGAGAGCAGTACATAAAAGGAATGAGGATAAGAACTGGGGATATGTAAGATGCTTTTATGAACCAATGATGACATGCACCAAGATCTGAGAGACAGAGTTAAGTCAGCACCTAGGGCAAAGCTAGTACAGATAGAATGCCAGGGAAACAACATCATATGTCTTCCCCAAAACCCCAGAGAAAACAATCTACCATCAAAAAAAGACCTTTGATATATAATCACAAAGTGACACAATCATAAGTCTTCAAGATCAAAACAAAATAGACTTAAAACCACAGTAAATAAAAACTTTAAGTTGGAGAAATTTATGATGGCATGATAGAATGATAGACTTTCTTACTATGACAAGTATTTGTGTATAGAAGGGTCAATTGTGATGATGCAGAGGACATTCTTTCAGTGAAATTTGGTCTTGACTGCTTTTTGGTTCTCCTTTCTCCAAAAAAGAAATTACATCATTTAAACAGATAACAATCCAATCTAGATTTAAAAGAAACTACATCCTCTTTCTGGCCAAAATATAACTTTCTACCTATTCTTAGGGTCAATACACCCTTTCAAATTGCCCTTTCCACTAGTTATTTTACAGATTTAAACTTAGATGTAAGTATCAGTTCACACTAAAAGGCTAAAAGAAATCAGAATACACCCGTATGAATAAAGGGTAAAGCTCAATATGCCAATATCATTTCATTCTTACCACAGAAAGATGTGGCTATGTTTTCCTTTGCGACAAGATATATACATGTTAGAGTCAAAAAATAAAACATAAGATTCATAAGCAGTGAGTACCTTAAACTGATGCAAGTTGTATTACATAGAAGAGAATATTTATAAGACTAATTCTTCTAAACAGTTCTGACAGTGATTTGGTACATCATGTTTTAAATGCTTGTTCTTAGAATCACTAGTTCAAACACTAGCACAGATAATTTACATTTGCCTACAACTGGTAAGTTAACAAATGTCACACAGAGAAGTATAAGAGGATGAGGTGGTGGGGAGAAACCACAATCTATGAAAAGTCATGCTTCCTTTTAAAGTAGAACCATTATCTTTTATTCACAAAGCCATTCCCAGCACAGTCAGTCATATCTACAGAGATAACTCAGAAATAGGCAGAACCCAAAACTGCTCTTCACCAAAAGACACATTTTCTTTTCTTTCCTTACCTGATAATGAGCCTGGGCTTGCTGTGCTGAGTTCAAGGTGACATTGCAGAGTTTGCAGTACAGGGGCTTACATAGCTCCTCCAGGGCAGAGTCTTGCTCCCCTCCCTTAGATAATTCTTCTTCCCCTGCCAAGGGAGTCTCCTGCCCAAAAGGTTTCTGATCTGGAAGCTGCAAGTTTCCTGTAGACCTGGCGGCCACTGACATAGGAGGAGAGGATGAGGGCCGCTTAGGCGGAGGAAGCCCGGTGTGTTGCAAGAGGATCATTGGGTAGGAAAGGCTTGGGCATAATCCAATTGCTGATCAGAAGTCAGGTCTTCAAATCTGAATCAACCACAAAAAAATAAATATATATATACATATATGAATATATATCTCATATAACTCATAAATATGACCCCAGCAAGATGACAGGTAACTGACCTTACCATCTGACTCCGTTTCCAAACTCATCTTTGGGACATCTTTCTTCTGCTTCATCTAACAGCCTTGCCCTGTCTCTTAATCCACATTGACACAATGCTCTTCCACTGAGAATGGCTTTATAGATTTGGCTATATTTTGCTTGGCAGAGCTCCAACTAATCTCCCTCTGGCCCATGGACATTAATAGTATTGCATCCATGGTTAATTAAACCTCACAGTCACATAGATGAAATGGACATCAAAGGTCACCTCTTCCAGCCCCCATCTCTCAGGCACTCTTACACTCAAACACTGTAGAAAATCACACATAGACAAAAAAAAACTAGTTAAGAACCTTAGCAACAGTCTCCTTCCCATCCAAGCCTGTCTTTTCACCCAAATGATATTAAAATGAATGACATAAAGAGTGTCACTTCTCAGAATCCTTAAAGCACTTCTATAGGTGGCTAAAATTTTAAGGAACACTAGGAATAAATTCAGAGTTACAATGTGGTAAAAATAAATGAAAGTGTTTCCGCTGATCAACTAGTAATATGGAAAGAGTTGAATCAATGATTCCTCACAGCAGAGCCTGGAAACAGATAGCCTATTGGTCACACACTGCCATAGATGTGCTCTGTTTGGAATATACATGCTCTGTTTTGTTTTGCTTTCAATTTAAAGTTTAATTAGTCGTCACCATATAAAAATCAAGAGACTCCTGGCTTCTCTCAATAAAGGGATAATCTGGCAAAGCTTGGCCCATGGTCCTACATTGGCAACAATTAGCAAGTCAGTACTGAGAGGCAATTGTCCTCAGGAGCCAAACCCACCTTCTCTAGGTCACTCCAGTTGCTATTCAGCCTGCTGCTTACTTTTGTTACTTGCTTGCTCCCTGAAGGCCCTTAAGTTTAAGACTCCAATTCATATAGCTTTGGACTATATTCATGAGTCGAGTCCCCTATAAAATCAGAATATTTTCTCTCCATCTAAGGTAAAATGCCAATTAATTCTCAACGGAGTAATAGATCTCACTATGGTAAGCCCTAAGATAAATCCAGTTCCTCAATCTTTTGGCTACTTCCTCTCATCTTTTAATTAAATAACTGACAATTTCTACTCTGTTTTCCTCAGGAAAAACCCAACTATGTTCCCTCTTCAGTCTTTGTCCATGACTTCTCCTGTCACCCACCCAGATGACAGCTTCTAATTTGGAGTAAACTAACCCCTGTACACAGTCTGAGTTTCCAAGATTCCAATTTACCCAAATTGAATTCCTTATTTAAAAACCCACTAGTTCCTGCACTCCCACAATATTATTAAAACTTCTTTTGAGGAGGGGCCTTCCCTGGTGGCGCAGCAGTTGAGCACTAGGCTGCGAAGCGGCCCCGCAGCCTCTGCAGCGCAGGTTTGATCCCCAGCCACTGGGGTGAGGGTCCCACGTAGCCCTTCGTCAGTCTGCCTGTTCTGTTCCCCGCTCTGGCTCTGGTGAATTCTCTCACCCTCCCGTGCTTCTGACTGTACCCAGTGCTTGTATAAATAAATAAATAAATCTTTTTTAAAAATTAAAAAAAAAAATAAAATTTCTTTTGGGGGACAATAGAATAGTTATTTAGTTGTTGAAATTATCCATCTCCAATAGAGATGTGCACATTTTACAATAATGAATTTAATAACATCAGCTCAGTAAATCTTGAAAGTTAAAAGTTTCTTTTCTCATTTTTAATGCACGCATAGATGTGGAAATTGCAATCAAGTAACAATTTGTATACTAAATTCAGAACCTGGAGGCAGCAAAGCTTATGGCTGCAATGAGAAATAATGTAGTTAGGGTAAAGCACATTAATTAGTCATAGTATTTAATGATATTTCTCAATCATAATATTTAGATAAACAATATTATTGTTTGGTGCCAAGTATTGTTTTGGGCCAAGGTTATCTTCATCTCTGGGAATGTGAAGAAAAGCAATAGAGATTCAGAATATTTTAAAAGTTAGGTTCTCTTAAATCATATTACTTCTTTCAATTAAACCAAGCAAAGACATCCAGAAAGGAGATAGCTATGGACATCTTAAAATGGAAAACTATGGAAACAAAGACCATTTTTAAAAAAGTTTAACTACCTAATTTTTTTTAAAGTTTAACTACCTACAATATTTTATAATGTTAAAAGATAAACTGCAAAACCTGTACAGAGACATACTGATGTCAAATTACCAGAAACTTGCTGCGGGTTCAGAAGACAAATGGTGGGGTAGGATGGCAAAACAACTGGATAAAGGAAATCAGCATCATAAACAGAAAATCAATGCTGAGACTTGCCTGGACTTGTTGTATGAACCGAAACTCACACTAAAGGAAATTCCTGCATATGTCTCCCCCAGTGCTGTCTACAGGTTTGCATCAAAATAAAGGCCTTTCTCAAAGCACAGAGGTACAAAAACCCCTAAATTAAAGGAAAAAAATCTCACCATATAAAAACTTACCTATTCTAACATTTTATCTTTATAATTTTAAAGATAGCCAGATATGCCAAAATTAGTTCTTATTATAGTTAACTAAAATAATGCCAATTCCCAAAAAGGATCTATCTATACATGACAAATACATCAGGTATCACTTTGCTTAAAAACAAAAATAGACATAAAATATAAATCTAAGAGCAACAAAACCAAGCCTTCTGTGAAGGTATGAAGTGTAATATAGAAGAACCAAGGCATATGTCACTCAGATCTGTTCAACTACTGCATTAGATGAAGAAACTAACTTGATGACTAATGCAACTAAAATTTTCCTCAGATCTTAGAAACCATTCAATTTGCTTGAAGTGGCATAAAGGAAGGGCTTACAGGGGTTAATGTCCTGGTTTGGAAGAGGTTGCAGGGACAATAAAGAAATCAAAGCTTCACAGTGCACCTTGTTTCAAGAAAAGGAATGGTCACAGCATACTTAATTTTCATGCTTGGACTAGGGCCTACTCTTCACATACTGCATTAAAGACAATCACTTTTACATTTTGAGAAATGTACAGAGGAAAGAGACAGAATAAAGGAACAGGTTACTGGCACCTTAGCAAACTACTAAGGAAGTCTGGGATTGGGAAGTCTGGCATTGAGGCAAAGAGGGGAGCATTATTCAGAGGTCATCAGAACGCAGCAGCATGGAATGAGATGGGGGAAAAACAGAAAATATCAGCCAAGTCAAGGTCTATCATTTCAGGAAGTCTTGGAGAACGCAAGAAATCTGGGGAGGAAGAGGCCTCGGTGATTCGGCGAGTGTTTTCCAGTCTCGCCTGTGACGGTTCCGAATCCCAGGGAACCGATTACATATTTAAATCACAGCTCTGGAGACTTCAGCATCGCCCACATCTACCTCACATTCCTAAAATGTGCATGCACACACACGAGCGCGCACACACACGCACCTCAATTCCGTAAGGATGCCATCACGGAAGATGGAACCCCCGAGCCCCACCGGGCGGGGGGCCGCGGGGGGGCCGAGGCGGCTGCACGCCTGGATGATCCAAAAGGTACACGTGAAATGCTTAAAAGCAAACAAATAAATAAAAGCGGCGCGAGCGCGTCACGTGGAGGGCAGGTGGCAAGCCCGCATCCGGGAGGAGCCCCTCGTCCAGGTCGCTCCCGGGCTCGTCCTGAACGCCCGAGGCTCCCGATCGCCCGCACTTACCGGAACCCCCGGGTCGCCCAGAGTCTCGGCGCCGCGTCCGCCCGAGATGCCCGCGCCGCCCGCCGCGCGCGCCCGGCTCGGCCCCGCTCAGCTCCGCCTCCCTCGGCTCAACTTTGCCGGCTGGCCGGGACGGGCACCCTCCGCAGCCCGCGGCTCACTGTCAAAAGTCAGCGCAGCCCGACTCCCGGGGAAACAGCTGCAGGAAGTGACTGCGGAACCGGGAGGCAGCAGAGGAGGAGACTGAAGGCGCCGGCCCGGCGTCGCCACCGCGCATGTGCCGGGAAGAGGGGGGCGCGCGGGGGAGCCCCGCCGACACTCCCGCGTGCAGGCGCGGTGCGCGCCGGCCGGGCGCAGAGAGTGCCAGCTGCGGGGCGCTGAGCGGGCCTGGGGGGGAAAGGCGAAGTCAGGGGGTGGATGCCCTAGCACCAATCCCAGCTGATCGTTCCTGAGAGATGTTCCTCTTACGCCCTGAAAAGTTGACCCGGAGCAGAAGGCTGGGCATTTCATGGCTTTTGCAACTTTCATGTCCAACCCTTGAGAAGCAACCCTTTTCCATTTTAATCCCTCTTCCTCCGCCCAAACCCCTCACTCCTGCGGTTGCTGGCTGAGTGAACCTACCCAAACATCCAAGCTCCTTTGCACATCTCGGATCAAACCTTTAAACTGCGCCTCTCCCCGGAACGGGTTTCCCAAATCATCGGTGGTCTCCAAGCGCGAAGACCCGAGCGCGCGCGCACGCGCGCACAGGTGGGCAGACAGACAGACAGACACGCCCGCGCACAAGTGAGGAGGAGACAGATTTCTCCTGATCCTAGACAGAAAAGACAGAGTCTGACACAGAGTCTGTCACACCCTCCCATGGTCAACATTGACATCTTTAGGGCTGACGTTGAGAAATGAGCTGAGGACTTTGCAGCTTAAGTCTATTACTTTATAAATTCTCCATATAAAGATTTGCTGGCTATCATTTTATTGTGATAAATTATACATGACCACAATGAAGTGCATAGTTCAGTGCCAATAAGTACATTCACAATGCTTGTACTTGTTTTTTAAGCATTAATGTATATGTCAAGGGAATCTAAACTTAGGATGTACGCTTGTGGTAGGCAAACTAGTACAGGAAGCTAAGACTGTTTCTTTGACTGAAATACACTATCCAATACCACTAAGAACAAATCAGGTTGATTGTCTTCCAGACATGACTCCATAAATGCAATGACTGTTAAGCAA